CTTTCAGCAATAAAATCACCAAAATATTTCAATGCTTTAATTTCAATGAAGATCCCGCTTCAAATGTGATTTTATGTTATTCCCTTGGCTTTTAAATGATGTTCCATGTTTTATTGGTTTCCATTTCTTGAAATGAATCCTTCCCATGACAAATTCTCCTTTGTCTTGCTGCTAAAATCCCCTCAAAATGGCATTAGAATGCTATTAACTAGCCGCCGCAAATTCAAATATTTTTGGCCAGACAAGGTATGCGCACTCTATACAAAATTAAGTAGACGAACTGAATAGAACTGAACTGAAGGTAGCGCCGGGACATTTGTTTGAGCAAATCAATTAGTCACAATGGCCCTCGGAGGCAGGACAATGGCAGTGGTGTAGTGTCCCTTGTGGACTGGGGGAAGTCCCGGACTTCTTCCTGGACATAAGGGCGTTAATTATCGGGCAGAGAGGCAGACGTTTAATGAATGCACCCGGGGCGAAGAGGAGCTCACTCACGTAATTTAAATTTGCTTAAGCAGATTGCGTGTGTTTTGTTTGGTGTTATGACTTTGTGCCGCTGGCTAGTCGACTAGTTAGAGCACCAAGTATTCCTCACCCTCGTCCACTTTGGTTTCCGCTTCCTGTCCCCGACGATGTCGCATCCTTCGAGCAATTAGTGGAGCGATGGGCACACAGGAAGTCTGATTCGTCGTCGAGGGTGAGCCATAATTTCTGGACTTACACGAATCTTGGATTTAATTTGGCACTTCCACATCTGTTTTTCTTTTCTTTGTATGTTACGGGAGTAGATCCCAATTTAATATGGCCATAAAGTGCGATTTTGGTATGCCCATCCAATGATTTTATATCACTTTCGGGCAGCTGGCCACTGGAACCCATTATAAAATCGTTTATGGGCCCTGACAATTGTTTGATATACGGCAGAGGGTGATATTTAGCTGGGCTGGTCTGATTTTTGCCCAAAATCAAATGTCTTATTTAAAATGTTTGCCCAGCCGAAATTCTCACATCTGCGCAGGCGCAAAAGTATTAACTTTCAGCAGCCGAATTACCATATGAATTAAAAAGGATTAGGGTAAGTCTTCGAAAGTATCAAATAACCTGGCTGCCAATTAAACAGCCTTTACTTAATTACAAAAGATAGTTTGGCCTAAAAGATGCAAACATAAAATGCATGATTGATGCGCTGACAGTAGAAAAGAAACAAAAAGAAAAGCAAAAAAATGTGGAAAATAAAGAAGAAAAAACCCAGAAAACTTTCAACCTTTGTCAAGCTAAGTTTTCCCTGCAATGGGAAAACTCGGTGGCAGCTGCCGAGGAAAACTCTCCGCTCCTCGTATGCAAATCAGTTTAACCGTCAGTTCATCATTCTCGTCCTGCGAATCCTGCAATTTGAGTAAGCGAGTGACATAATTCCCGACAGCGTGACCAAGTTTGATTGATCTGCAGATCGGCGAAAGCGAAAGCAACATCCAATGCGACAGGCATGGCGAATCGGAGAACTGGTACAAGGCTCGCTTTCTCCATTGTCCTTGCCAGGATCTGCCTGCAAAAGTGTCAGAATTTGGAAAATCGCTGGGATTGATCACTCGAGTCCTTAACATGATGTAGAGCATGGCTTTTGCATAATTTAGTTCGGGTTTACAAGATTCTTACAAGGGATTTATGGGAAAGTATCTCCGTTATGGGAAAGTTGACAACAAAATTCACATCATAAGTTGTTAGAGGAGAGTTTAGTGACAGAAATGGTTTTTTCAGAGAATATTTGAAGTTTTAGAATTTATAATAATATTTAAATATTCAAACTAATATTTTACGTTTGAGAAATTAATATATTTAGCTAGTAATTTAGATCCTTTTTATTGCAGCAATAGGCAATAAAAACTAACTAAAAGTATTCTGATTATACAATGTTTAAGAGTTTGGTTTTAGAGTTTCAGTTATATTTTCAGATGGTTAGTTAAAAAACTTATCTCATAAAGCATTCAAATAATATATTTTTAGAAAAACGAACGCTTTTTTACATTATGGTTTTAAAAACAAACCACCGTCTGTAAGATAAACCTTTTCAGTCACTATTACTTTTAAATATTCAAAGTCCTGCCATAATTCTCTTAAAATCCATAAGCTAAATAGGTCATAAATCGCATTATGAGGCAAAGACCTTTCACCCAATCCCCCACCCGCTTTCTCCTCCATCGACCAGCACATTGACCCAGAAAAGCCGATCCGATTTGATCAGAGGATTATGCAAACATTTGCGGACAACTGTCATTAGTCAATGGTCCCATATTTGAACTCTGACCACAGAGCAGCGTTAAGTGGACAAAATGCCAGCAGAAAATGCGGAAAAATCACGTCGATTTCTCAGAGAAAAACCGCAAGTTGAGACAACCCCTAGAAAGGAGAAAGCAGCATCTGAGAGTGAAATAGGGAAAGGTGAAAACCCGATACCTAGACGAACCCCTGCGAGAAGGTCTATAGAATTACTACCCGAGAGGGAAAGATTTCGCAAGTCGCTTACCCAAAAATGGCATAAACAATCTCATTGTGCGCACTCGAACCAAATGATGTGTGAGATATCAATTGTCAGGTCGACAATGGAAAGTGACAGATCGGTATCTGCAGCGTTCGTAATAAAATTAGAAGTTTATTGATTTGTCCTGACACTTTGGCAGAGGAACGGAGTCCGGGATGCGAAAGGAAACTCACGAATCTGGGACAGATTGATGTCTGCTCTCGCATTATCAATGGGAGTGTCCTTCCTCCACTCCCCTCGTCCTTTACCCCTTGCTGAGGCTCCTGCTCCCGATGTCCTATAAAAATTATAAGCAATTACATATCAAGAATTTCCGTTGACTGGTCGTAAAGTATGCAACTTTATGAGCCCAGTAAATATTTTGATGGCCGAAATTTCGCTAAAAAAAAATTAATTTTCGTTCGTCTACTTTTCGCTGAGTTTGGGAAATTTCTTAATGTTCAGATTTTGACTCGACTGACAAATGAATCCAAACTTCCTGCTGACCACGCCCAAATGCTGTTCATGCCACTCACTTTCCGTTTCGAAAAGCGTCTATTAATGACATGAGTTGCAGTTCCTTTAAAACTCTTCCATGTTTGTACTAATTATTATTAATGCGTTTTCAAAACAAAATCCAAAAAGGGAAACTCTCAATGATTTGTGCATTTGTGGGCTAGCTGACAAAAATGCGGGACAGTAGGTTATGGGAACAAACTGTTTTTGGATTAAGTGACAACTGCATTTTGGGTTCCTAATATAACATAATTATTTCTTATATTTTATTTGATTAGTTTTTATACTTAGAATACTTAAAGTATAGTATATTTCAATTTATTCATACTAAAATGTTTCTTAAATGTCTCTTAAAGTTAAATGATGTCATTTGAATAAGGTCCTTAAGCTTGCATTCTCCTCTTTTTCTTTACAAACTTCTTTTGTGAATAAATCTAATTAGCATGTTCTTCGACAATGACTTTGAGCTACTACCACATCACACATTGTCAACTCAAGCTCTCGAGGAAATCCGTTTAATTTCCCCCAAACCCCAAAAGCCAGCGACAAATTTTCTTGCCCGAAAAGTACTGCACTGACAAAAATGTTTGAATATTTTATTAAAGATCAAAATAGTTATAAAAGAGCACATATATATTTAATAAATATTAAAATATCTTTTATCACAGTTTTATAAGTTTTTATATCGTTATTAATTCAACTCATAAAAACACAAACATCTTCTCTCAGTTCATACTAGATTTAAAAGTTTTTAAAATGCTCTTATTAAAAATTACAATCGACAATTAAATAATCATCAATAAAACAGGAAACCTTTTAGAGATATTTAAAATAATTTTTATGATCGGAACCAATGGTTTTTTGTTTGCTAGTAAGCTGGATCATGGAAATGTTCTCATCTGATTTCGAATTACCGAATATTAAGGTTTATAAATCATAAAATCATAGTTGTTTTTTTTCGGTGCACTGATTTGAGCTGATTTGGAGGGACCCTCCTTTCGACTTTGTGTGAAAGTAAAATCGTCTCAATTGCGGGCGTGTGCTGTTAGTCTTGCGGTTGCCAGCGACTCCTGCTCCTGGTTTTTTGGGCAAAGGACCCGCACAATTGGTTCAGGTACAAAGTCAGAGATTGCCAAAAGGTGTTGGTAGATGCTTCTTATCCGCAGCATTGTGTTAGTCCGCTTGTGTATGCTGTATGCACAGTTGTCAACCTACAGGTGAAATGGATCCTCGTCCTCGCGAGGGCGTCTCCTTTGTTCGGCCGCATAATGGAGGCAAAACGTTCTGAAATATGAATTGAATCTCCTCGAGTGCATTTAATATACATTACGCCCTCGTCCTTTCCCCTCCGTTTGCACCTTGCTAATATCCTGGCGCTTCATCGCCGACAAAGTTGCGAGTAGTTTGCCATCTTCAGCTGCTTGCCGAAAAATGTTCGGGTATGCGGGCCATACAATATCCGCTGAAACGTTTAAGTGAGATTAACAAGTGATGACTGATACGGACTCCGGCACAAGCTGGATTCCACTTTTGCCCTCGGGGTTGTGTGCTTTCTATTAAATTAAAAGTGGCAAAGGAAAAACGGAGGAGAAACTTGGTGCCTCTGGCACAAAAAGCAAGCTTTATTGGGCGCCTTGATTTTCGGCTTAAGGAGCTGTTTTTCTGTCATGTCGATAAAACATTTTCAATCGAAGAACGAACTTTATAAAATAAAACGTATTTTATAAAAACGTATTTTATAAAAAACTAAGTTGTTCTTGGAAACTGATTTTCTATCAATTTAACTATATTGCTGATAATAAAATAAATGTTATATATGTTTTGTACTTATCAGCCGTTTAAGTCATAATTACACATTTATTTTTCTTGGAACTTTCACAGTGATTCCATAAAGAGATAAGCAGGGTTATTAAAACGCAGTCTCCATATGGAAAATTGCACTCGAAAGGTTTTCAGTCTCTTTCGATCTGAGCTTGAATCATGAACTGTTCTCTCGCGATTTTCACCCTGCTTTGGGCTTTCATCTGGCTATATATTCCTGAATCTGAAGCCAGGATTAAAGACCCTAGGGAGCGCAGGGTATACCAAAAACTGAAGCAACAGGATTGCGGAGTCCTAACGGATGTAATTCCAACCCAAAGACTTCGCCGAAGGATCATTGGTGGCGGGAAATCTTCCCTGATGTCTCAACCTTGGATGGCGTTTCTCTATGTATCAAATAATTTGGAGATGTGTCGCTGTGGAGGAACTCTTATCTCAGCACGTATGTATAGTGAATAAATACTATATATTCCTTTACTATTTCTTTGTTTTAAATCTAGGCTTCGTTTTAACTGCTGCACATTGCATTAAATTGTGTCCCAAGACTGAGGAGTAAGTAAGACTGACAAAAATTCTTCTACTTTTATTTCTGACCCTAATTTTTCACCAGATTAAGAGTGCGGCTGGGGGAGCTCGACTTGAATACCTCTACCGACTGCACAACCTACGATTATCAACCGATTTGTGCCCCTCCCGTAGAGGAGTATACTATAGAAAAATGGACTGTTCACGAGGACTTCGACCTGTTTTCTGGTTGGAATGATGTTGCCCTGCTAAGACTTAGTAGGAAAGTGATCTTCAAAGGTAAGAAATCTTTAATTAATAATATTAAAAGTTGGTATATGAGTTGTTAAGAAGTTTTGTGATACTTTTACAACCTTTCCAGATCACATTCGACCTATTTGTCTGCCCCTAAACTACGATCTCCTGAAGTTTACCTCTTCGATAGGAGAAACCTACCTTGCGGTGGGTTGGGGAAAAATGGAGGACCAGGACTTTGCCAACAGTACCATGGAGGTTTATATAAATACGAAGGAGTGCTCCGGCGGCAGGGACAGTTCGTTTCTATGTGCCGATGGATTATACGTGGACACCTGCACTGGCGACTCAGGAGGTCCGCTCACCCGGTCCGCTTTGTATTTTGGCGCCGTTCGAACGGTTCAATTTGGAGTGGTCAGCACTGGGAGCAATGCCTGTGGAGCTGGGCAGAATGCTTACTACATGGATGTACCCACCTTTGTGCCGTGGATACTCGCCAAACTAGCAGAGTTCCCGAATTTGTAGGATAAGGTAAACTAAATCTCGTGGAATCATGCGACATTTAATAACTAAATGAACTTGATTATAGAAGGCTAGATGCATTATCAATAACTCAATAAAATATTTTGCTGATTATGGCGGTTATTACTTCTACAATATCATTAATGTTTTACTCTATAAAAAAGGGAATACGACTTATGTTATATTTAAATACCTTGATTTTTGTGGGAAAGTCAAAATAAATTTAAGAAACTTTTAAAAACTTGATAGCTTATAAGCAAACCTATTGATTATATTACTTTAAGAATCTTTCTCAAAAAAAAGTGTTTAGGAAATGTAGTGGAAAAATATAGATATAATTCATTTTTGTTGTTTACTAATAACCTGCTGTCATAATTAGGCGTTTGCCCCTTAATTATTGTTTGCAGTGAATCTAATCGCATTGACTTCATAGGGCGATAAGGCAGTGAAAATTTTGAGAAAGAAAAGTGCGATTGAAAGGCTTTCAGTCTGTTTCGAACTGAGCTGGAATCATGAACAGATCGTTCGCTACTTTTTCCCTAGCTTGGGCAATCTTCTGCCTAATTAATTCATCTGACGCAGGAAGGGCTTTCGAGCAACTGAGGCAACAGGATTGCGGAGTCCTACCGAACACAACTATCACCCAAAGACTTCACTCAAGGATCTATGGTGGCAAGCCATCCTTCTTGATGACCCAACCCTGGATGGCGTTTATCTATATACCAAATAATTTGGAGACTTGCCGATGTGGAGGATCTCTTATCTCACAGCGTATATATAGTTGAAAATATATAATTCAAAATATTAATATTTTCTTGCTTAATTTAAGGCTTTGTTTTGACTGCTGCGCATTGTTATGAAATGTGCCCTAAGCCCAGCGAGTATGTAAGATTAATATATTTCTTCCCAGATTAACCCAGATTCTTAAACAGATTACGAGTGCGGCTGGGAGAGTTCGACTTAAATTCCTCAACTGATTGCATTACATTTGGTTATAAACGGATTTGTGCCCCACCCGTAGAGGAATTCGCGATAGAAAGATGGATTATTCACGAGGGGTTTAATGTCTTTACTCCTGGGTATGATATTGCTCTGGTGAGACTTGATCAGATAGTGGTCTTCAAAGGTAAGAAATCCAAGCTGTTAACTGGTTATATATTTATTAGCGCTTTTTGTGATTTTTCATTTCAAAATACATTTTACTTCAGATCACATTCGACCCATTTGCCTTCCCTTGACCGAAGATCTTCAGGCCTACACCTCGGTCATCGGAAATCCCTATAAGGCTGTGGGCTGGGGATTAACGGAAAATGGTATTTCTTCCATCATATTGATGGAGGTCGAAATAGACACGGATAGGTGTCCCAACGGCGAGGACAGTTCGTTTTTGTGCGCCAATGGAAACGATGTGGACACCTGCAGAGGTGACTCAGGTGGGCCGCTCGTCATGTCACGTAATTATTTTGGCACCAGCGGAAATGTCCAATATGGAGTGACTAGCAGCGGGCACACTGAGTGTGGAGCTGGTCGAGGAGCCAGCTACATGAATGTATCCAGCTTTATGCCCTGGATAATCGCCAAGCTAGAAGCTTTTCCTTAACTAAGTTTTTGTGCTATTTAGAAATAAGATAACAACCTTTGAATTTGTTGTTACTAAAGTCTAAGCAAATTTGGAAAAGCCGTAAATAAACTTTCTTGCAGTCGAGGTCTTTCTAGCAGGGAATTCCTCCAAATAAACAACCTATTTTTGGCTATTAATTACGCAGAATAATTCCACATAATAAATAAGATGATGGATCAAGAGACTTGCATATATTGTGAAGGTCACACGGACGCAGTAGTGGACCTGTCCTTCAGCAAGGACCTTGGATCTGGCTTTTGCATGGCCTCCGCGGGACTCGATGGATTGGTAATGCTGCGACATGGGGACACAGGCAAAGGCATTGGATCACTGCGAAAGCACAGAGAGGCAGTGTGGAGCGTGTCCTTGAGCGAGGATGGCAAGATGCTGGCCAGCGGCGGTGGCGATTGCACAGCTCGAGTCTGGGATGCCATCCTGGGCAGGCATCTGTCGAAGTTCAGGCATCCGGAGACAGTGGCCTGCTTGGAGTTGGATTCGCGGGGCCATCGCCTGGTGACCGGCTGCCTTGGTCTGGAGCCCGTCATCAACCTCTTCGACCTGCAAAGCTTGGACAAGACGCCCCTGATGTCCTTTCGGGGTCACCACCGCGGCGTGAGGGATCTGACCTTCTGCTTGGAGGAACGCTGCGTGCTCACCTCCTCCTACGATCGCCATGTGAAGTTGTGGGATTGCCTGAGTGGCCACAGGACCCACTCGATTGTCCTGCCGCACCATGTCAAGTCCATGGAGCTCCACCAGGGCGGGGAGATAGTGACCATCTCCTATGGCAATAGTCTGATCTTTCTGGACTCCAAGCAGTTCGAGGTACTAAAGCATCTCAAGATGGACTACAAAGTGACTGCGGCCACGCTGAGTCCCAACAAGGAAATCTACATATGCGGCAGCAACAAGGGTAGCGTCTACAAGTACAAGTATGCCACGGACATTATTGTGGAGTCCTACTTTCTGGTCGAAGGAATCGAGGTTTGCTCCTTGAAGTTCAGTGCGGCCGGCGAGGTATGTGCCATTGGGGCAATGGATGGAACAACCATACTGTGGCGACAGAACAAGGACAGGAAGTATGGTCTCTGGAATACTTTAACTTCATCGGACGAAGATGATGAGGATGACTCCATCAGTTAAATGCCACTGCACAACTGTACTATGCCCGCTTTTCATTAGACTTTGAATCGGGTTCTCGTTATACCCTTGCAGAGGGTATTATAATTTTGGTCAAAAGTGTGCAACGCAGTGAAGGAGACATCTCCGACCATATAAAGTATATATATTCTTGATCAGGATCACCTCCTGAGTTGATATAGCCATGTCCGTCTGTCCGTCTGTCCGTCTGTCCGTCTGTCCGTCTGTCCGTCTGTCCGTCTGTCCGTCTGTCCGTCTGTCCGTCTGTCTGTTTCTACGCAAACTAGTCTCTCAGTTTTAAAGCTATCGGATTGAAACTTTGCACACACCCTTCTTTCCTTTGCACGCAGTATATAAGTCGGAACGGCCGGGATCGGCCGACTATATCCTATAGCTGCCATATAACTGATTGATCGGAAATGCCATAACTTTCGTGTTTGTAAAGTTAGGAAGTTGGGATTTTCTATGGGTTTTATATTTGGCCAATCAATCCGACCTACCAAATTTCATAAGGATCGGCCGACTATATCCTATAGCTGCCATATAACTGATTGATCGGAAATGCCATAACTTTGGTGTTTGTAAAGTTAGAAAGTTGGGATTTTCTATGGGTTTTATATTTGGCCAATCAATCCGACCTACCAAATTTCATAAGGATCGGCCGACTATATCCTATAGCTGCCATATAACTGATTGATCGGAAATGCCATAACTTTGGTGTTTGTTAAGTTAGGAAGTTGGGATTTTCTATGGATTTTATTTTTGGCCAATCAATCCGACCTACCAAATTTCATAAGGATCGGCCGACTATATCCTATAGCTGCCATATAACTGATTGATCGGAAATGCCATAACTTTGGTGTTTGTAAAGTTAGGAAGTTGGGATTTTCTATGGATTTTATTTTTGGCCAATCAATCCGACCTATCAAATTTCATAAGGATCGGCCGACTATATCCTATAGCTGCCATATAACTGAACGATTGGAAATGCCATAACTTTGTTGTTGTTAAAGTTAGGAAGTTCGGATTTTTTATGAGTATTAAGAATGCATCATATGAATAATTTTGGAGAATATAATTTACAGAGTATTCTGCAAGGGTATATCAACTTCGGCTCCGCCCGAAGTTAGCTTTCCTTTCTTGTTTTTGGTTAATTTCGTTTTTTGTTCAGTTGCTCCTCGTTCCCCATAATCGAAATCAGAAAAGGGTCACGTTCCTTTTCCCTTTAATAAATTTGTTTTGTGATTGAAAACCCCCAAATGCTCGCGAGATCTACCTGCCTTTTATGGGCTATGTGCCTTTGTGCCCTTTTCCAACCTGTTTTTGTGGATGATTTTCGAAAGGATTTCGGTTATTTTCTACGTTGACCGATCGCCGACGCTGATTGCCTCGCTGCTTTATGGCGTTTCTCACCCGATGCAGTCATAAATGCGTTTTTATTATTATTTGAGTTTGGTCGTTGAGTCGGGGAGCGAAGTCCCCTCAAATAACGAATATGTATCCAAAAGTGACTGAGGTTTTCCTCCTTTTTTTTTGGGGTAGTTCGGCGGCAGATAGCATATACAAATACCGAGGGCCCAGGAGATACATCTCTGACTGATCTGCTTTCCCGACCTGAGATTCATTGCGACTTGACAACTTCTTGACTCCATGCCTCTGTTTGTTTTTCTTTCCTTGGGTTCGCTCTGCTCAAATGGTTTTCCATAAATATTTATAATTTCTTGGCTGATAAAACGAGTTCCTCGCATCATGCTGAGCCAACGTATTTTCGGAAACACGTTTTCCACGCGTTTACCAGGAACAGGAAACCTTTTCACACAACCTCCTTGGGTGTTTGTCCACCGAGTCGTCTGACTGTTTCAATAAAATGAGTTGTCATGCTAGATTTCTCTGCGGTCAGCACAAGTGCCTTTCGTTGATTGATGATCTAAACGGAAAGTAGCACAGTAGCCGCAGGATCAGCAAAGGATTAGCCTATACGGTAGCCAGTCCAAATATTTGCATACTTGCCCGACTATTTGCATTCCACTTTGAAAGATATCCATCAATAGGTCCTCGATCTGACCGCAATTTGTCCGAGCAAAAGATGCAAGATAAGTAAAAGTCATTTATAAATGTCCTGCGCAGAGATTTCGTAATATTAATGATTGGTCATTTGCCAGGGAGAAATGCATTGTAACACTTGGAGTAGATCGCCTAGCCAGTTTTTGTGTTTTGATTGGGATCACAGCGATTAAGGTTGCGATGTGAGATATATAAATGATTTTCCTGCTCAGAGGAGTGTCTGTTGGTCAGCAGAAGGGTAGGAGATATTGCTGTAATTAATGCCTGGATCTTAAACTGAATAGATCATTCATTTTCCCAAAAATATTCTAGAAATTAAAAAACGATTAATATGTAAGAATATTTTAGGTCTTTGTATTACTGCTTATTCGTTTCTTGTTTCTTTTATGTTTAACTAACCAAAGGATATATTTCTTACTGGTTATTTTACCTCCCCTTTATTAGTTATTATTCCTAAATGAAACACTCCCACAACAAGTTGGGCTGAACCCTCGAAATGTCTTTAGTCGTATAGCACACCTGCCTAGCAAAATTTTCGAAATTGCGGTCACAGTTCCGTGAGTTGAACAGTTTTTATGGTAATTTCCTTACGGAACCAAGAATATTTGAAAAATATCTTACGGCAATTTCGAGCGTTACTTAGCTGGTTGGTCATGCTCGCTGAACATTAGCACCCCCACCGGAACACGTGGCACATCGGACCAGGTTCTCGACTATATGGTACTATATAGATACTTATGGAGTGGGATATCTTGGGCCTCCTCCTGGGGTGAATTGGGCTGAGTTGGTGGTGTGCTGGGTTTTTAGGAGATAAGAAGCGTTGCATTCGAAATGAGTGTAACGTATATTTTATACAAGACCAAACAGGACAGGACTTTGTCAAGGTTTCAATAGATACGAGATAAGGTTTTACAAACCGCGACCTTTGGCTAGGAAGCGATGATGATGTTTACCTAGGTCTTATCTTCTTAGGGGGGATAGTTACATAAGTGCATAATGGAGAGTAGCCGATAAGATCCAATCCAACCAGCATTAGAGACTCCAATCAACCAAATACCTTGATTATCATATAATGCCCGCACGTTCCATGGGACAATCCTTTTAAGGATCTGCCCCTATAAACGGGGACACTTGAGAACTGCGTTTTCCACCTCTTTTCTACGCCTTTTTTCGTTTCATTTTTCCGCGTGTGTTGACACAACCCATATAAACCAGGATATCCTGCTCGGGAGGAAATTACTTAAAGGGATCACGAACTCTTCCCCCTTTCGAAAAACTCCTTCTTGAGTTGTTTATGTTTTCAGGCATGACTGCAACCGAACGCCAGTAGAATTCTCAAATTTGTTATAAAGTGTGTAAATTCACGTTGCTTTTCTTTTTGAGGGGAGGGTGTGTCCCATAAACAGAAAACCGAACCACAAGGGATCAGATCGGATCGGATCGTATGGGAGTGGAGAAAGAAGAATTATGGATGATGCTGCCTAATCGAACGGTCGTCAAACGATCTCTGCCTTTTTTGGGGTGATTGCACTCAGTTTTTTCTTGTGTTTTTTTTCTCGGGTTTTTGTGTGGAAAGCCAAGAGGTTTTTCTATTATTTCGTTGAGTGCAAAGGACAAAGCAAATGATGTCTTTAGACTACGAATTTGACTTCCAACGTTTTGTTCCTTTTCTCTCCTTTTTATTTAATTGGATTTGTGCAAACAATATAAATCTCGTTTTATTGCTTCGGTAGTGTAATTTAATTTTTTACGATTTTGCACAAGAATAGGGAAAAACTTTTGGAAAATGCAGCATGAAATGAGCAGAAAACTTTGGTACTTAAAAAAGTGAGGCATAACGGAAATTTGAAATATCCATATTGCTTTGGGAACTCAATGAGGAAATTTAAAATACATATGTATACATGGGATTTATCTACTGGACCAGTGCCCCACATTGCAAGCGCTATTTTCCCCTTGGCAACACAAGGAAAGTGAAAAGAATCGGTGCCCCAAATTGCCCCCTGCCACGCCCCTTCGACAGCTAAAAATCCAGTTTGAAGCCAAACAAACCGAAGCCAAAACATTTTTTTATTTTTATACATATCTTCCCATCGCAATCGCAACCAAAAGTACAGCTCCACCGATGCAACAACAAACAAAAAGGCAGCGAACACGCGGATGGAAAAGAGAGAGATGGGAGATAGAGATAGAGAGAGAGACGGGGAGATACAGAGTGAGAGAGAAAGGTGGAGTTAGGCCGACTATTTTGATATGCTCTATCAGGGAACTTAATAAAGTTTTATGTTTCAGTTTAACTTTCGAATCATCGAATTATCAATTTAAGTAGTTGATATTATACCATTACCCATTAATTGACATTCATAGATAATAACTTGACTACTATTTTGCTTAGCTGAAACTTTAGTATTTCAATGATTGGTTTTAAAGAATAACTGAAATAAACAACTTAAGAATATTTGGAACATGATCTACAACATATTCCTCTTAACTAAAGTTCAATTTGCCTAATAGTATTTTATATTTTGAAGGTATCTTTTAATATATCAAAGAAGTGCATTGCCCTTTCGATATTACATCGAATAAAAAGCGCATTCAAACCCAAACGTTCTGCTCTCTTTCTCCATCTCTTTCGTTCTCTGATCATTTTGAAATCGAGGGTTGCTACACAGAGAGCGCGAACCGCATTGGATTTTAGACTGGCAACGCCGAGTGGTGGTTGTTTGACGTTTGCTTTTGCTCTGTGTTTTATTTATCATTTATTCGTTTCTCTGAGTTCGTCGAGAGCGGTTCGCCCCGATCGGTAGCGCTATATCCTAAATATATCCAGTGCGCAGTGCGCTAAGTACCCGAAAAAGTCAACAAACTTCGCTCTTACAACGACTGCAAGTTGTATAAATAAACAAACTACTAAAAGTGCTGCCACAGGGCGTTCATACAATTTAAAACTCATAAGAGAGTCACAAACGATCGTTTTGTCAGTGGAATTGCAGTGTAGTGTGCTTAAACCACCAACCGCAAACCGTAACCAAGTGCTATTAAACCAAGGCCTTTGTTTATAATAAATTTATAAACAATTGCAGTGTGAAATTTCACTTTTGAAGGCAGCAAAAAGCTTAAAAAAAGGCTGCCCCATAAACGCACACACAGGCACATTCGCTCTCCCACACACTCACACACACGAACGTGTGGAGACTGTGATTTGTATTCGTGTGGAGACTGCTCTTTGGCTCTCTTTTGGGGCCCGAAAACAAAGTTTTGGCGCCAAAAGTTTGACAGTTCGCTTTGGCGTGCGATTCGCAAACAAGTGGCAAGAAAACTGCGTCTCAAAACAGACCAGAAAAACACTAGAGCAACGAAAAACAAAAATATAGACAACATGGTCAGTGCCCGAGTTCTGAATCCAGCGATGCTCAGCGAGTTCTGCAAGATGAGCAGCAGTCCGGCGGTGAGTCGCAATCTGCCCTGCGGTCGCCAACTGAATCGCATCAAGCGTGACCTTTTTGGCAGCTCCAAATCCGCCGAGGGTGCAACCAACAAAACGTGAGTTCCGGGAATAACCCTTGCATTTACCCATAACTAATCTAATTTTACTTGTAGACCCTTCAATGCCGAACTGGAGCGCCATCAAGAATTGGCTACGCAAAAGTGGGGATTCGACTTCCGCGCCGGCTGCCCTTTGACCGAAAAATCCTCCTTCATCTGGGAGCGCGTCAGCTTCCAGGAGTCTAGCTTCGCCCCGGAGATGTACACCCTCACCAGGGCCGCCCACGTTCGTCCCTCCGCCGACAGCAACCCCAGCGACATGGACGTCCTGGTCAACGAGCGCTCCGAGCGCGAAAACTTCGGCTCCAACCTGGTAAACTCCTCGATGGAGTCCAACACGGACAACGACTCCTGCTACGACTCACAGGACGAGTCGCTGACGACGCGGTTTACCTCCTCCAACCTGGCCAGCACCTCCTCGATAGTCCTGCGCAAGCGACAGCCCAAAATCACAGGTTAGTACCGCCCAGGGTTGGTTATATACCACTCATTGATCAGCGGAGCTTGACGGTTCCCAGGGTCAGGCTTGATTGCATTTCGATAGACGTTACAAATTGGTTTCCCATAGCTTTTAGTTCTTGTACTGTTTTAGTTTTGTTTATTTTCGGTTCCCAGATGAAAGTTGATGGAGTTTTTTTTGCCGAATTTTAATCAGAATATAAAACTAGTATTGAATTGACTGTTAAAATACATTTTTAAGATTTATTCAGGAAGTTTTTTTTAATCTAAAAATGAATTAGTAATTTATTGCTGATTCTTCCTTGAGCTTACAGCAAAACTTTATTTCAATGCATACAAAAATATAAATTAAGTTCAATGGTCAAACATAGCGGCTTTTCGGTTTCAAATAGGGTTGTTCGATTGCTTTCACATATTGTTTAAGTCCACTCCCTCAACATTTTTTGTTTATTTTCACATCCCAGGGAATAGGTACCCTTTAGTAGTGGGCGTTTCTCGTGGAACTTAAACCCAAATTATAGCAATTAGCCAATGCTTTGTGGGAGATTTATTTTTGTCCGAAAGGGTTAGGCACTCCAAAGCTGTCTGCAGCTGTTACAGCTCTTCATCTCCAAAAACCGAACGATTCTGATCTGATCCCCGGCTGAGCGGGGGTTGGTTTCCAGATCGATCGCATGCGGGCTGGATGGCTGCATCTATAAATGCCAACAGCTGTGACTCCGCTTTGTCTATGGCCTGACCTCATTACAGAAAACGAGAGAGGGGTCTGGGGATCGGCTTTCAATGCACCACCATCCAGAGTCCGTGGCCTTATCAAACCTCCCTTTGATTGTTTTGTACTCTGCGTTTTTTATATGCCACTCGCATGCATGTGTAATTATAATCGTAAAAAGTGTCTGTTCGGGGCATTATAAATGCACCCGCATTGGGTGACCAGTTGTGAAGCCTCTGAAGCCCTTAAAGCCCTGACTCACTGTACTTTTGATGTACTTTTTGCTACTTTGGCCAGTAAGCTAGAGAACGTAATTTATGCAGCTATGCACCACCACTCTTGCTTTCATTGGACTACCTGAAAAACAGGCTAAAGACCGACTGTGTCTGGCTGCCGTCTGGCATTTATTTGCTACCCCTGTGTGGATCTGCAACCCTCTGTTAGGGAACTGATGCCGGCCACGTGCCACAATCTGAAAATCTACCCGAAACCGAAATCAAAATGTGCAAAAACAGGCGGCGCCTGCTGTTTAGGGATCAATGACATGGGAACGAGGATAACCGGAAGTGCAGCAGCTGACTTTGATTTGGCGATCACACGAAACATGTAATAATAACTCCCATTTTCTCTTCTGTTTGCAGAATTCATGAAGGAGCGCAAGCGTTTGGCTCAGGCCCCCAAGAAACTATCGCCCGCAAAGCGTCTGCGCACCAGCTCACCCAGTTCATCCGCCAGTTCCAGCGGAGGATTCGCTTTGGGGACGCATTTCGGGGCGATGCTGAAGCGCCCGCGCCACAACTAAAACTTCAGATTCGCTGGCCAACCCACTGAATTGCAATTTGTAATTTTATATGATTTTTTTATAAGCCACTGCGATTGTGTAGTATTTCCTAATTTTTTATTACGAACCTTTTATGCAGTGCAAGGGCGACAGTTGCGAATATTAATCGTTAGTCTTCAACTACTCGTAACCAGTAATTAGTTGTAAGCCAGCCAGTAAGCTCGAGCTACATGAAACTTTTTAGATTTCTCTAGTGAGAAATGCCATAAACTAAGTGATTAGTTCTTAACAACAACCAACTATTGAACTAGAAGAGAGAGAGACCGCAAGCTAAATGGAATTAGTCTTAACTATCTTGAAGCCAAACGAAATTTAACCTTTATAACGATGGAATACTAACTTTACATAACTTTGTAAAATCCTAGCAAATTTCTCCGGCAACTTTTGCATTAGAAATTTGCCGGGAGAGAACAAAACTCATCCCTTCTCTGCCCTCTAAGTTAACCCAAACTGAAACTCAGGGCAGAGCAGAATTGAATTTTGTTTTGCACTTTGAAGGCGCTAAAACGGAGCCACAATGAGCCGGTTTTTGGTTCATTGCCGCCTTGTTTTTTCGACCCACTAACATTGTCCCCAATTCGACCAGTGGAAAACAAACGAAAAAAAAAGAGGAATGCCTTTGAATTATTTTCGTCAATTTCTGCATGTTTGGATGCCATTTATTCGATGGCCGCCAAATGCACACAAATTGTCGAGCTCTCATTTCTTAACCAGTGGTAAAAATGTATTTTATGATTTGCTATGATCTCTGGCAAATTATGAAAACACTTTTGCCTAAAACTATCATGTACAAATACTAGATAACTATACTATACACATAGGCAGAGCCTATTTTTCATAACATTTATACAAAGCATCTATTTGTAAGGCCTAACTAAGAACAAAATCCAAAGTATTCTCCTAATATTTATATGTATAGATACTTTATGTATAATTAAATCATACACAACTCATACTTCAATAAACAAAACACAAAACACAACGCCCAATGTTCTCTTTAAAAATTGAAAAGAAAAACCCAAAAATCGCTGCATTTAATCATTTACATGTTTGTTTGTTATTGATTGACTCTAATTCCTAACCATTGCTTTGGTTGTAGCCGTAGATGTAAAGCGTAGTTTATTTAAATAATTTTGTACATTTTATAAGTTAATCTTTGTTTTTTCCGCAATAAATTGTTTTTGATTTTTTTAGTTGGTAGTAATTTAATATTTGTTTTTAATTTTTAGGTTTCAATGGGGGCTTATATAAATTCGGGAACCCAAACAACAGAAACCAATCATATTTAGGCTTTTATTTAATAATTTATTGCTTACATCAAGTACATAAATATTAATTTGTTTCAATCGCATTGTAGTTTTACATAAGTTCCATTTGGTTGATCTGTTTTCTACATATAAATATATATATCGGATATATACAGTGGACTCCGGAGCTGTGCGCCTACTTCCCCGCCGCCTTCTCCTCCAACTGGGCCTGAATGTTGCGGACATTGTTCCCACCTCCATTGTGATTGTGCCGCTGGAAGAAAGCATTGATGGAGCTCATGGAGCGGTACTCCAGATTGTCGCTGACATGCCAATCCACACTGATGCTCTGGTGACGACCCACCGGGTTGCGGCTGCGGGTCTCGTTGTACTTCTCCAGCAGATGCAGCAGGCAATCCTTGGTGGTGTTGGCCGCCTCCTCCAGGTTCACGGTCTGGTGGGTATCCGGCAGTCCCACCGGCACATCCCTACTCATCTGGTTTATCCGGAACTTGGCTCGTCGACTGCTGGCTGATTCGCTGCTGGCGCTGTTGGAGATTTGGTTGTAGGTTTGGCTGCTGGCGCTGGAGGAGATTTGATTGCTTCCACCGGAGGAGATTTGATTGCTTCCGCCGGAGGAGATTTGGTTGCTGGCGGTGGAGGAGATTTGCTTGCTGGCGGTAGAGGAGATTTGGTTGCTGGCGCTGGAGGAGATTTGGTTCCTTGAGCTGGTGCTTGTGCTGCTGCTGCTGGAGATCACCTTCGAGGAGGTGGTGCTGGTTTTTTGTACATGCTGGCTGGTAAAGCTCCTGGCATTGGAACTGCTCACCGTTTGCACGCGAGATTGTGCCAGGGATTTGCTAGTGGAGCTGTTGCCATTGCTTAGCTTGGGGGTTTCCTCGATCGACTGCTGTAATCTCACAGACAGCGAACTGATCTTGGTCTTGCCCTGCCCATCATCATAGCTGCTCTGGCTCTGGGAACTGCTGCTGGCCTGGCTGAGGAGTCCTCCCTTCGCAGTGGGACGATTCCAGCTGCTGCTGGAGGTGCTTTTGCTGGTCCATCTATTGCCGTCCTGGCTGACCTCGGAGGTTTTACTAGATGTGCTGCCAGAGGGAGCAGGAGCAGGAGCAGCAGTTGGCGGAGCAGGAGGATCTGGCTTGGCTGCACTACTACTACTCCCATTGTTGTTGGCATCCCCGAGCTTGGTGTTGATCTCGGCCAGCATAAGCAGGTGATCGGACAGCTTCCGTATCTCATCCGCCAGATTCACTCGCTCTCCGGAACTGCGACGACCCAGGAGGTAAGTGGTATCCGAGTTCCTGCGGTCGAAGGTGTGCAGATAACTCTTCATGCTGCGCTGCTGCTGGGCGGTGGATTGACTGCCGGAGAACTCGTCGAAGTTCTCGTTGAACAGGTGCTGCGGCGTTGGCGTGGACGGACTGGAGGTGGCCACCGTCGGGAAAAGTTTCTCCCGGGATTCGTTGATGGGTGTGGCCACCGAATGGGGACTCTCGTTGTCCGCACTACGACATTCCTCCTCCTCCGGCAGATCCTCATCTTCACCTCGTTCGTCATCCGTCAAAGTGGAAATGGATTCGCAGGGCGACGGCGAACAAACTGTAAGTGAAGCAAAGTCTTAAAAGGATTCTCTAGAAGATCTAGTAAGTGTTTACAAAGAGATTATGGGGTTATTGCCAAAAATTACAGACGGATTAGTGTACATGAATGGGTAATTTACACACAGAAATATCATGCTTATGAGTTCAGAGAGTTGTGTAAAATGACTCTTAGAAACATCAAAATGTTCAGATAGGGTTAGAGTAAATGAGTGATTGTCTACATAAATTAGGCTATAAGTTAATAAAAGAAAGCAACAATATATATATATATATATAACAATTTTTATAGAACTTTTTTGCTTCATTTCTGAATTCCTAAAAATTACTATCCTAATATCCATTTCTAGTTGATAAAAAATGTGATCGAAAATATAAATAAAAAAAAAAGTTTTAGTTGAAAAAAATTTAATTGGGAAAAGATTTGTTGTATACTTTTTGAGAGATGCTTAGAAAACAAATTCTAAAGAAATTTCTAATTTAATATTCTCCCTGATGGACAAATTACAAATGAACATGAGACTGACTTTGGAATTTGACTGCGATCTCTGAGGATGATGGGTTTTCGGAGCTGGATGTTGGGCTTACCTGGCTGGCAGACCAGAAACTGTGGCTATACGAGTATGTGTGTCGATCTGAACCTGAACTGGGGATTGGGGTAATTCTGGGGGATTTGGATTTGGGAGTGGTATAGAGCGGAATTGAAAGAGTTTGTGGTTTGGTGGAGTTCGGTTTCTCGTCTCGAAGAAACTACAGAGAAGTATCATTGTGCTGGAGTTTGAATTATATTTTGGATATATTTTTCAGTAATTGTTTTTTTGTCAATGGCTGTCATTATCACAGTGTCAAAGTGGTTAATAGAGCTGGTCATCCGCTACAAGGATGCCAGGCACATTGCTTAATGCTAGGGTTACTTAAACATAAACAACAGTTCTGGCTGGCAAGCTGGTCCTCCCTCGTCCGGAAATATATAGAATTGTAGGATTGATTTAACCGAAGAGAAGGGGTTAACACACAGACAGAGACGGAAGAGAGATACAGACAGAGAGGGAGCTAGCCAGCTTGCTCCACATTCAAGTTAAGAACAACAATTAGTTTGACAAGTTAATCGTGTAATATACAAAGTCGATCCGGTTGCGGGATGCAGTTGGAGATGCGAGGCGGTCGCCTCATTTGCCGTGGATGAGGGCGTGTCGGTCACGCTGGCGCTGGGATCCGTACTCACCTCGGGACGAGGAGAGGCTGTCCTGGCCGTGGGTCCTCCGGGGATGCGGGTAGCTCGTCTCGCTCAGCGGAGCAATCACATTGCCCTCCACGTCGAACACGTACGGACTGTTCGGATGCGTCTCCCACCGCACGATGAAGTTCTTCAGGTTGTCCTTCGTGGCATCCAGCTCTTTGTTCTGCAAAAGGACAGTGATGCGAGAGGTACAATTACTATTCAGGAGTTTGCAAAATATTTCTAGGTATAGTCTATAATTTTCTGAAAACATTTTTGTTACATCAACTTAATGGCTGTTCTCCAAATGTTGGAAACAAATAAATTTATAAAATCATTAAATTTTAAATATACGAATAATAAAGATTAAAGCTGTTATATTGGACAACTTTTACAAGAAAATTCTTTTAAATTATGATTGAATAATTATAATAACTTCTAAAAAATTAAAGGTTCTAGATAATTTATTCTTAAAAATATATTCTAATCTTAAAAAGAAAAACTTTCAGCATGACAAGTTCTTAAAATGAAAATTAGTTTTCCAGTATTATAAAATATGATATATATTTAACTGATACAATTGTAAGCAATAAATCGTTTAAGAGACAGGAATGTTGTCATTAAATTGTAGGAGTAGACATTAGTCTAATAAGAATAAAATGCAAATATTTTTTAATTGATGTAATAAAATTAAGTTGATAACAATAATAAATTAATTAGGTACAAAATACCAAGCCTTTAAAATCTCTGGGAATCTGACACCAGGTAAATTGTTTGTTTGCCCGACAGGTCTCCTGCCCCAATTACTCACCTCCAGTTCGGCGGCGCTGCAGAGCTTGGCCAGCTCCTCGTCCTGCTGGCTATCCGCCTGCTTGGCCTGCTCCACCTCCGACTCCGCCTCCTCGTCGTCGTCCTCGATGGTTTCCGTGGAGTCCTCGGAGGACTCCGAGGGAGCCGTCACCGGAGACACCGACTTCAGGCGCGACTTGGACGCCGCGGAGGCGGCCTTTGTGATGGGCGTGGCTGTGGCGGCGGCGGCCGGCCGCTGCTGAAGCCATTTGTGTTTCATGCACTCGGCGGCTGTCATCCGGGTGCTGGGGGAATGGAAATGAAAATGGAAATGGAAATCCGGGAACGGGTTAGCAAGCAGACTCTAATTAGGGGAGAGCTCGAGAAACACCCACCCCAGGTCCTTCGCCAGCAACTTGGCTATGAAATCCAGACACTCGGGGGATATGCCATTAAAGCATTCATCCTCGAAATCGTATTTCGCAATGGTTACATTTGACATTGTTTCAATGTCGTTCTCGCCCATGAAAGGCGACAGTCCTGAGATGCTGTTTCCAACCACAACATATCGCATCATACGGGATTGTGTGTGAGTTTTTGAGGTGTGGGCGAGTCAATAAACATGAAATGTAAAAGCAGCGTAAGTAGAATAAATAAAAACACAAAACCAACACTTAATTAACTAAATTAAATTCGCTCGCACTCCTTTTGGACAAGAAGGAAGAGCAGTTTCAACAACCGCCCCTTTTGATTATCACATTTTTAGCTGGTACACATTTTTAATTGGTTTTCTCCCAAGCATTCTACCCTTAAGATATGAGTGCGGGTCTTGATTAAATTTCTAATTGCTCGGAGTACAACATAAATGGTTCGAAAATATTGCTTTGGCTCAAATCTAGGAAGTGGCAAAATCAACATCTTTGGAGATATTTTTATAATTTTAACAGAATGTGTTGAGCTCTTGGTAAGAACTTAGTAAGTAATTCAAAATTTTGCAAAAGTATAAGTTTGTATTACATTTATTGTAATGGAATTTAGAGACTTGAATAATAGAAAATATTTTATCTACATTTAAACTTGGATTTTTAGGATATGTATAATTTAAAATCTTTTTAAAACTTTAAAGAGTACTTATATTTGTATTAGACATTTAAAGTGTTCTATAATAAGTGAATAATATATTTTATTTACATTTGTATTAAACATTGTAAGAAATATAATATAGAGAACCTAAAAAACTATTTCAAGATGCTGTAGGATCAATAGCTTGTTCAGCTTTTAAACGTTTAGCTCAAAGTAATAATAGTTATTCTAAAATATTTGTAAAACTTACAGCACATAGCATATAACACCGACACTCCACATATCTGTTCCATAGGATATGCAGTCAAAGTTAACAACTTCTGGCGCCACAAACTCTGGTGTGCCGAAGAGAACCTAATATATAGTAAATATTAAAATATTAATTTTATTTAAAACCCTTTTTTTTATTTTTAATTACTCACCCTAAGACGCTTATCTGGATCAAATTTACGTGCTAGTCCGAAGTCAATGATCTTGATGCGATTGCCCTTCTGTGTGAGTACCAGAATATTCTCGGGCTTCAGATCCAGATGGACTATGCCATTGCCGTGGATAAAAGCCATGGCCTCACACACCTGGCGAATAAATACGCGGCAAACCCTTTCGGTCAGTACGAATTCATCGTCCACCACACGATCGAACAGTTCGCCACCTTCAATGCTGTGAAAATAACAAATGAATCCCCTGAATTAGAAAACCAGAAAAACAACAGAAAACAGAAATACATAAACTCCAAATAACGCAAAAGACAAAACATATCATGCAAACCAAGCACCATAAGCAGAGTTATCGCCTTTCAATTAGTCTCTCCTCCTCGTTTACCATAGGTTTTAGCTTCGTTTTTAGTTACCTTACCTGGCCCACTCTAAACTAGTTATGGTATTTACAAGAGTACCGATTGCTCTGCCAGAACACGAAAATCAGATAATCCATGAACATCCATCCGCCCGAGTGACGGGCATCAACTAACAGCATGCCGATTGGATTTGGAATCGGAGGGAATTATGTTCAGACACTCGACAAATGTCATCCCAGATTTTCCCCAAATGTTGACAGCAAAACACAACACATAAGCCCTCCCGTTCCTCCATCAGATGCTCATGAAAAATGCCGAAAAAAATAGGAGAAATGCCGCAGTGAAATTAGTTTCTCTCTGCTTTTTTCGTTTGTTAGTTAGTTGATGCACTTCACTTCGAAATCGAGTAAATTAAAAATGCATGTGGATATTTGTGCATTTCACGTTTGAAATGGAATACTGTTATCCTACTTATGGACAATTGTTGACTATTGCTAAGCTTTTAATACTATCAGAAATAAAATGCTATGATTATCCAATTTTGTTAGATCTATCCAAATACTTTACAAATTCTAAATTTTTATCCAATTAAAATATACTTTATGAACCAATTTAATTTAATTTGAATATTTCAACGCTTTTAAGATTACAGTAAACAAATTTTATAAAAGCAAGGAACATACAGTGAAATAAATTGCAAAACCTTTCTAAAACAAATAAAAACTTTTACAATTGAAATTTCTCAGATACTTTTAGTTAGTTAGTTAATGCTATCCTTTTTTAAAAACAAACTGTTTTTTTTCACTATTTTACACTAAATAATCTACTTCCAAAATGAGATTCTCACTAAACAGAATATTACTAAAATGTGATCAACGAAAAGTTGAATTGGTAAATCCAATCAATTAAGAAAATCCAATGAAGCTTTTGTTCCGAGAAGTTTCATTTTGCCTGCCATGTGCAAATCAATTGCCTTAAATATTTATAGTGAATTGATAAGGATCCCATTTAAATCCAGTTAAAATGCCAGCACTTTGTTTGAGTTTGGCTTTTCTGCTTATTTCCTTTGAGTGGCTTTTGCTCGATGAAACTTAAAAGTGGAAAGCAGGATGCTTAAACAATTTTCCTTGCAGCCCATCTTAAGGCGAGGAATTTTCTTCTTGGAAAAATATGTTGGTCGTAGTTGAACATTCTGTTATGAATATGCCAAGGAGAACTATGCCAGTCAACAATTAACTTTTCTAGGGGGAAAAACGACAAGAGGAACAAGAACAACAGCACAACTTGTCCAAATTGCAGTTTCCTTGTTTTGTTGAAAATTAATTTAAGTTGACAAAGTCTTTTCGGGGGCTTTGTCTTTGGGTCTATGAAAATGAAATTGTTTCAGCTTTTCTGTATTCTCCCAACGGGCGGGCAATGTGGGTCAAGGCCGTCGACTAATCAGTGGGCCAAAACACCTGCCTCAATCGTTTTTATGGGCCATTAGACCCTTAACCCATGTCAGCATTCATTTGTGCACAAAGAAGCTGCGGAAAACTTTCGCGAGGCAAATAAAAGTGTTGTAAATTTGTATAAATGCTTGTGTGTCAAGGGGAAAACCTGTTGCTTAAGGTTTTTCTTTCGGACTTTGTGTGGGTGTATTGTGTGCTTGGGTGTGGCAGAAAAGTTTACTAGTTTACGATAATGTGCGTACGTGTAAATCGCATTTTATGCACATTCCCACTGATTGCAAGATATTGTGTCCTTAGCAACAATGTGGCAAACAACAAAGGGGACAACAAACTTAACGAATAGTGAAATAGAGGGCTACAAATTTATTAGGGTGACCCGAATTTTGTGACCAAAAATCATTTAAAGACTTATTATACCCTTGCAGAGGGTATTATAATTTTGGTCAAAAGTGTGCAACGCAGTGAAGGAGACATCTCCGACCCTATAAAGTATATATATTCTTGATCAGGATCACCTCCTGAGTTGATATAGCCATGTCCGTCTGTCCGTCTGTCCGTCTGTCCGTCTGTCTGTCCGTCTGTCTGTTTCTACGCGAACTAGTCTCTCAGTTTTAAAGATATCGAATTGAAACTTTGCACACACCCTTCTTTCCTTTGCACGCAGTATATAAGTCGGAACGGCCGGGATCGGCCGACTATATCCTATAGCTGCCATATAACTGATTGATCGGAAATGCCATAACTCTGCTGTTTGTTAAGTTAGGAAGTTGGAATTTTATATGGGTTTTATATTTGGCCAATCAATCCGACCTACCAAATTTCATAAAGATCGGCCGACTATATCCTATAGCTGCCATATAACTGATTGATCGGAAATGCCATAACTTTGGTGTTTGTGAAGTTAGGAAGTTGGGATTTTCTATGGGTGTTATATTTGGCCTATCAATCCGAACTACCAAATTTCATAAGGATCGGCCGACTATATCCTATAGCCACCATATAACTGATTGATCGGAAATGCCACAACTTTGGTTTTTGTTAAGTTAGGAAGTTGGGATTTTCTATGGGTTCTATTTTTAACCAATCAATCCAACCTATCAAATTTCATAAGGATCGGCCGACTATATCCTATAGCTGCCATATAACTGAACGATTGGAAATGCCATAACTTTGGTGTTTTTAAAGTTAGGAAGTTGGGATTTTTTATGAGTATTAAGATTGCATCATATGAATAATTTTGGAGAATATAATTTACAGAATATTCTGCAAGGGTATATCAACTTCGGCTCCGCCCGAAGTTAGCTTTTCTTTCTTGTTTTAAGCCAAATTTAACTGAGCTGATTTTAGTTTAAGATTGGTAAACAGATTTAAACAGATTTATACAGCCATAGCCATTTAAGCATATTTAAGTTTAAAACTACTATATTCTGGGCTTTCAAGTTTTGGTCACCAAATACAGCTCACCCCAACATATATGAACATATATATATATAGAGAAATATAGAAGGGGATTCACACCCACGAGACAAGGACAAGCAAAATCAACACATTCATTTGTATGGGCTTTGGCGCTCTTGATATCTTCCTTACAGTTCCAGGACGACGCACATCATTTTCTGATATTCGTATGCCGCGTACAATTGTATAATGAGGTGATGCTGCAATGAATTCATAATCTCCACCTCCCGCTCCACATTCCGCTTGTCCTCGCGTTTCGGAATTGGCACGAATTTGGCGGCCAGTTGCAGGCCATTCGCCTTGTCCCTGCATTTGTAGACAGTCCCGAATTTGCCCCTGCACAGGGATAAATGTTGATTAATTATTGATGCCAGGGGAAGTATGGGGAGTGCGACGATCAGTGCCGCAGGATACTCACCGACCCACCTCGCCCAGCACATCGTAAAGTTTATGGGCATCGACGTTGCGATTTATGGTCGCATCGCGCATAGGAAACGCCGGTTCCAAAACTGCAAAATAATAAAATAGAGAACATTAAAATGGGGGACTATAAAATAGTTTCGTAATAACAGATTTTCCTTAATTAAATTGTTTGAAAATTGTTTTCTTTTTAAAGTAATTCCTAGACATTTATGGAATCATTTTGCTGGCTAATAAATGTTTATGTTTTTCAACAGCACGAAAAAGCGATAAAAAGCGATATATACTTTACTAATGTTAAGGCCATTTATCGTTTTTAAAAAGTGTAAATGACGCATTCTAGTTTGTTTTCTTTGAAACGTCTTTAAAGTCATATTATTTAAGGTACATAATATTATTAGTCGCATTTAAAAATATTACTTTCTATAAACTGCAAATAAACTACTGAGTTCAGGAGCACACAGAATATTTTTACTGACGCATCGGTGCATTGATATCGATTTTGAAGTAAGCACTTCAGACTTTTTGGTTTCTTACAAAACTTCGTCAGTCCGTAATTCCATTGCACTTTCTTATCAGCATATCAGTTGGCTGCCATAAATTCAAAGGCCATAGCCAGAGGTGGCTTATATGGTAGGAAATGTTTCGGTCTGATTAAGACCTCAACTGTGTGATTTGATTAGATTTCCTGTTCCTGGTCAGAAATAAAAAACAACAAGTGCGCCCTGGAGCTACAGTGTGCTACATGGTTGAGAGTGCTCCTCGGGCAATATGGCATTTCAATCATTTCTATTGTCCGGGGCCCAGTTTGGAGTGCATTTAATATCGGCTATTATGGACCCCGCTCCTCCACCGACTGCTCAACAACAGTTTGTGCTTGTCACATATTTCGCAGGACATATTGCACACAAGTTTTCCTGTTGTATTCAGAGGAAACCCTTTTCAGAATTTGATTCGTTGTTGCTCTCGTTGCCCGTTGTGCATGTCTACAAGTTGCCAAACAAATAAAAATGACTTGATTCAATTGAATTTTGTACAAGGCAACGATATGAAATGGGGACGACAACAGTGACGAGCTGGAATATTGTGACAAATATGGGTTTACTTGTATGTTTGTGGGCGCTGAGCTTTCCAGGGTCTGCGTGTGGTCACCAGACTGTGTTCGATATTTCATATTTATACCCGTTACTCGTAGAGTAAAAGGGTATATTGTATTCGTGCAAAAGTATGTAACAGCTAGAAGGAAGCGTTTCCGACCCTATAAAGTATATATATTCTTGATCAGGGTCACTAGCCGAGTCGATATAGCCATGTCCGTCTGTCCGTCTGTCCGTCTGTCTGTCCGTCTGTCTGTCCGTCCGTATGAACGCTGAGATCTCGGAAACTATAAAAGCTAGAAGATTGGCATTTTGCATGCAGATTCTAGGAGTTCCTACGCAGCGCAAGTTTGTTTCAAAAAGGTGCCACGCCCCTTTTACGCCCACAATGGCTAATATACGATTTTAAAAATTTAAATATTTCGGAAAAGTAAAAATGCAGTTTTATTGTGTTTATCAATACCTATCGAAATGTAGAAGAAATTTTTCAAATCGGACCATTCGTTAAAAAGTTATGCGTGATCAAAGTTTCTATCTCCATCTCCCTCGCACTCCCTTTACCTGAGTAACGGGTATCTGATATTCGGGGCACCCGACTATAGCGTTCTCTCTTGTTTTTTTTCCCATTAAGGACAAGAGTTTTAACTTGACATTCGACCACAATAATCCCTGGGAGATTTTGTGGGACGCATCGCAACGGTTGCTTTCGCAAATTTGCAATTGGAATTATTGATAATCTGGCAGAGGTTCATGGTAAAAGTTGGGTAACTCAGTCAGTCAGTCAGATTGTTGTATTAACCCATTGATTGCGAGTGGGGACAAACAGAATATTTAAAGGAAATTTACATAAGCTACGATAGTAGTATATTTTAAATATCAAATTGAATAATGTCACTTATATAATATTTTTCATCTATCTGAAAATCATTTTAAAAACGATTCGTTTCATTTAATAAGAATTAAGACAGCAGTGATTATAGCTAAGAAAAAATACAACATTTTAAAGAAATACCCAAATTATAAGTACAACATTTTCATGACTTTTTCCAGCTGCACTTAACGTTGGTATTTAAGGGGTTAAGCTGTTAGCGAGCGTCTATGAATTGATGTCATCTGCGCGGCAGCTGTCCCATTAATATGTAAATGGCGCACATAAGTATGCTACGAAAAACACGATAAATCTTTAAAATCAAAGGCGAGGCAGAAAAGCAAAGGAAAGGACTTTTTCGAAGAGGCAAGGGGAATGGTGGGGCAGAGGCACAAACTTGGCAAATTCAAAGTGAAAGTTGAGCGTCTACTGTGAATAGAAATGGCGGCTGAGAGCGTTCCTTTTGCTATTTGTGTGCAGCGAGGCACTTGTATATATATGCATGCAGTTTCTGCAATTGCCGAGTCTTGACGCCTCCCCTTCGGCCACGCCCCCTTGGCCATATATCGCTTAAACGGTTTTTGGCGCAAATTCATGCAGCGACTGAGTGAGTGAGTGCATGTGTGAGTGCATTTGAGTGCACTCTGCCAATAATGCGCACAATTTAAGTTTCGGCAAACACGCCCAAACACTTGCATTAGAGAAGAAAATTGAAGAGGTCGGGCCCCCTCCATTGAATGGAATTTTTGGTGAAAAGCTGCCAACTTCTCGGCCCCATAATTCATAATTCGAAAGACACAAAAGTGGATTCGAAAAGATATTTCATCGCTCATAAAATTTCAACATGAGCGCAGACAGGGATACATTATGCACAAAAGCTCACTCATACTGTCTTAAATACTTGAAAAAACATTTGTGTATCATATTTGCGACAAAAAAGTGTGAGAAAAAAAACAAAAAGCATCTTAAGCATGTATAGTTTTTCGAATACGAATATTTAATCAATTTTTTTACTCAATTGCCTTTATCAACTTTTTATATTTATCATATGAAAGGATTATTTCACATGAAATAATATATATCTGTTCAACACAATAACTTTTAATCAAATAAAATACAAAATTAACTATGATTACTTATTTTTTTAATGATGTTTAGCAAGGATAATTTTTAAATCAATCTGTTTTTTTTCTTGTGTACTCATATTCATATTTACAAATGGATGTGAGTGGGCGGCAGGTAGCTCCCATTCATTTCCTGGTTCGAGCTCATGAATAAATGCATTTATATCGACTCTGCTTGGCATTTGCACTGCACCGCTTATCCAAAGGAAAAATAAGGAGACTTTCGGAGAGGGGGGTTGAGGGGCTGGGATATGCCCATATGCTCCGGCGAGACGGTGGGCGTGGCTGCGGTGGGCGGTGGGCTGACGACCCCGATGCACTAACCAAATGCAATCGAAATTGGACTTGAGCCGTTTGAAGTGTTTTCGTAAATCAATTTCAGTTCCATTAAGCTGCAAGATGTGCATATAATATACGATTCGTTGAGAGGAATGCGGAGGAAGTGGAAGAAAAATATTGATGTACAAGTAATCTGATTCGCACATATATGGATTCAGCTTTACGTTTTATTGTGTGATTCATTTAGTTTGTTTAAGACCTTTAACTGAGTAAACAAAAAAAGGCATTACATAATTATAGATAATTTGACTGTATGAATGTTTATATATTGTAATGAATGTGCCTATCAGGAACTAAAAAAAGGTTTTTGATGACTTATAGATCAATACTTATATATTCAAGTTATTAGACTTAATGAATGTCCTCAGCTAAGTTCAGCTATCTAATTGCGATGATTGCACACTATCCAGATGCTTATATAACTACCTACTTATAATTATCTACGGGTATTAGTGCTACTTATACCAAATGATTTTATATCTGCTAGCTGTTAGACAGCTTTCGTCTAAAGTTTGAATTCTATGTCAGACATCACTTATTCAGAAGTACTATTATCGACATCTCTATCATGTCCCTATCTCCGTCTCTTTCACCCCTTAGGGTCAATGTGTGGATTGCGTTCAAAAGTGCAACTCGTTGCAAATTCAATTCAAAAAACTTTATAAAGTTAATTTATGCACAATATCAATAAAAATGGCTGTGCGGGAGTCGCAGATACTATATTTGCACTTCCCATTCAATAGAGCGCCATTGGAGCGCCTGATGCAAATGCTGAACGATTTTTTGTGCCAACGATGGCAATTTTTTCTGATATGAAAATCAGCAAATTTTTCTTTGATTTGCCTTTGCTCTTTCGGTCGTCAAGGATCTGCCAGGATAACCCCCCACTGCTCATTTCGGCAACTGTTGCCAGGCTTGCCTTGACTTTCAGATTAAAAAATAAATTCCAAACGAACCGAATCCTCAGCGGAAGCGAAAAATGTTTTCCCCCTGGCTCATCCGTCCATCGATTTGATGTTGCAATTTGCTGCTGCCGTAAAAATTGTGTAATGTGCTTAATGAAATTTTTTTAATAACACAATATAAGGGTACGTGAATTTAGCAGGGAAAAACGTGTACAACAAATGCAAACTGTTGCACATCAAACGATGGATGTCAATGTACCACACATTACATGGCCACAAAATAAAATGAAAGAGGGAAAAAAACCACAAGCCAGACGTCGGCGTTTTAATATATAAACCAAAGTAACGCAAACACCACGGTCTTGCAGGCGTTTCCCCATTGTTTATATTCGCTTTTAATAACACTTTTTTACGCGACCAAAGCAATCCGCAGAAGTATGCCAAACATTTAATGGCAAGGCCAGACGGGAAAATGCATATAAGTAATACATTTTATACATGTACCGACAGGAAGCCGGAACAAAGATGTTAAGCTATTTGTTTGCCAAGTTAAAACACTTGCTAAATTCAAAGCAAAAGAGATTTTAGTCTCACTATAATGAACTTTGAATTAAATTTTTGCCTTCGTTTGCTGTTCGTTGTCGGCCAAACAGAATGAGGGGTTTTCACATTAATAAATTTCTATCAAAATGCAGCTTTAAATTTGTTTTCTTCAATTCTTGATTTTTCCTTACTTTAAACATCTTACATGTTGGC